TGGGTGGCTGCAGATGCCTTGGGTGAGCCCCGTGCAGATGGGGCACAATCCCCTTTCCTCAGCTAGGGGAGCCTCAGGGCCACCGCCCGAAATCATGTCCAATACATCCCGAATAACATGGTGCAGCCACAGCTTTTTGGCCTCCTTTGCTTGGGACATCACAGAAGACAAAGGACCCCCAGGAAGGCAGCAGGCACTTTCCCCCCACCAGCAGCCAGCTCTCCATCCCTGCCCACGGCCCCGGTGCAAGGGAGGGCTCTGGCGACCTTCCCGGGCAGCGCTGCTCTGTCTCTGAAGTCTGGCTGGGGAGATAGCAGAGGTGAAAGGGCGCTTGGCGCTCCTCCACAGGCTTGGGTCAATCGTTAATCGGGGAGGGATTGCTTTCCGCTCCTGCAGGTAACCTCTCCTCCCCCCAGCTCCCACCCACGCGCCAGTGCACGCACAAAACCCGCAGCCCCGGGAGCGGGGTGGAGCTGCAGCACGGCAAGCGGAGCTGCCGGCAGGGCCCTGGGGAAGGAAGTGCCAGCGCGCCGGGCAAGAAACTGCAAGCCTCAGAGAGGTGACAGCCAGCCCCCACCATGGTCTCCATGGGGCTCCAGCTGCTGGGCTACGCCTTGGCCTTCCTGGGCTACATCGGGACACTGACGGCCACGCTGCTGCCCAGCTGGAAGACCAGCTCCTACATCGGCTCCAGCATTGTGACAGCCGTGAGTTTCACCAAGGGGCTGTGGATGGAGTGCGCCACGTACAGCACGGGCATCACCCAGTGTGACATCTACAGCTCCCTGCTCAACCTGCCCGCCGACATCCAGGCGGCCCAAGCCCTGATGGTGAGCTCCTGTGCCATCTCCTCCATTGCCTGCCTCCTCACCGTCGTGGGCATGAGGTGCACTGTCTTCAGCCAGGGCTCGCCGGGCAAGGACCGGGTGGCTGTGGCAGGTGGCATAGTCTTCATCCTTGGGGGACTGCTCTGCTTCATTCCACTGGTGTGGAACATCCATGTGGTGCTGCGGGATTTCCACAACCCCGTCCTCCCCGACAGCATGAAGTTTGAGCTCGGAGAGGCACTTTACCTGGGCATCATCTCCTCTCTCCTCTCCCTCGTCGGTGGCTTCATCCTCTGCACCTCCTGCCCTGCCCGGGACCCAACAGCCACCTACACAAGCACCCACCAGCCCCGGTTGCTGGCAGGCAAGAGCTCCCGGCCCTCCGTCAGCCAGACACAGAAGACTAAGAGTGAGCTCAACTCCTACAACCTGACAGGTTACGTGTAGCAGCTGCAGGTGGGAACCAGGCTGGCACCTCTTCTGGCTCCCCAGAGCATGGCTGGCACTGAGGGAGCACGGTAAGGGGAGAGGACGTGGTGGCATCTCCTTTGCTCAGCCGTCTCACTCACGTGCTTCAGGGGATTTGACTCACTCTCTCCCCAGGGATCCTGAGAGCTTTGTGACTGCTCAGAGATCCCAGCTGGTGGTTTACATCAGTGAAGGACCCTGAATCCAGCCTCTGCTCCTTCGTCTGTGCTGCCAGCCTGCGGGCAGACCCTGGCACAATGGGACCCCAGCCCACAGGCCAGTGAGCCTGCCTAGATGGAGGCGGGTGGGCTTGTGCCCCCAGGGACCAGCCCACTGGCTCTGGAGGTATCACAGTGGGGCCAGGGTGTCCATGCGGGTCCGGGGTCACTGTTGCAGGGGTTGAGTGCTGGTTGCAAACCGATGTCGCAATAAATCTGTGTTTCTAGCCAGGCTGTGGCTGAGCTTTCTTCCGGCACCAAGGGGCTCTTGGCATCTCCCCCAGCAGGGTGGGCTGTGGTGGGTCCACAGTGCAGAGGTCACCCCTGGCCCTTGCTCTGGTCTTCCCCCCACGCTGTGGGCTTTGCCACCCAGGAGCCCAGGTGGGTGGGAGCACTGTTGGGGGCAGAGGAAGAGGGGTCACTCCCCTGCAAGGTTTGTCCCTGCACACCACACTGGGAGGTCGCCCTCTGCCACCACTGCGAGGGTGCCAGCGGGGCCAGTGCAGCTCCCTGCGGGCTAATGGCAGGCAACGACACCCCCCCTGCCCAGCCCCGCTCACTTCTAAGGGTGCAGGTATCACTGGGACCGGGGTGTGCACAGGGGGTTTGCTGCCCCTGGGTGCATGTGGCACATCAAGGCCCCCAGGCAGTGGGGAGAGCCCTGGTGCCACTGCATCTCCATCCCAGGATGCTGTGAGCACCAGCACCCAGGAGGCAACATGGTCCTGAGCACCTGAGGCAGCTGCTGGCCACCGGGGAGGCTGAGCACCTCAACACAGTTGCAGGGGGGTCTCACAGGAAGGTCTTGAGCCCAGGGGTCCTTGCAAGGGATGTTTTGGGAGGAAAACATGAAGCCTCAAGGGATGGGCAGGCAGGGCCCAAGACTGCTCCACGCGACCCTTCAGTAGCGGTGGAACGCGCTGCATGGTTGCAGCCCTGCACAGTAGCAACAGCGTGACGGCTCGCACAGGTTGCCGGTGGCACCAGGGGATGCTGGGTGTGTGCCAAGGCACAGCAGGAGGAAAAGAGGTGCAGGGAGCCCAGGCCCGCAGCCCACTGAGGAGCAAGTACGTTTTAACCACCCTGCCCCCTCCGACATGCCATCAGAGGCAAGATAACCCCTCTGCTGCCATGCCACAGCACGGGGCTGCCTGAGGACCCCCTTGCCCTGGCTCCCTGTTCCCCAGGAAGTAGGAGGCTTTGGTCTACCTGCTGGCCCCTCATAAAGCAATTTAGATTAGGTCCCAGAGAGGAAGAGACCATGTTACCTGCTCAGACGTCACCACCATTACCCTTGCACCAGTGAAAACACGTTTGCTGTGGGGTTAACATGTTCCTGATAACAGCAAGTCACATTTTATCCCCTTCTCACAGAGCAAGGGGCCACCCAAGGACCCATCCCCAGGGTGACGCTAGCTGGAGGGGACCATTTTACCTGCTCAGACGTCACCACTGTTACCCTTGCACCAGTGAAATCTCGCTTGCTGTGGGGTTAACATGCTCCTGATAACAGCAAGTCACATTTTCTCCCCTTCTCACAGAACAAGGGGCCACCCAAGGACCTATCCCCAGGGTGACGCTAGTTGGAGGGGACCAGGGTGGATTTCAAGGCAAAGACCAGTCACCTCCCTTCCATGGCCAAGGAACAAAGCGCCACCTCAGCCCAAGGCCGGCTGTTACTTATTGCTGCCCTGGGGAAAAAAGAGCCCTGGGTGCAGAGGATGGAAAGCACACAAAGGGCTTAGCCTGCCAGCTGCAGCCCCCTAGGAGATGCCGCGAGTTCACTTAAGTCCTTCAGCCATAAATATTTTGTTCCTGGGCAGCTGATGCAGAGAGGAGGCGAGAAAAGAGTTGGTATGAAAGATCATGCCTCTGAAGAGGAGGAATTCCTGGGCACAGCCTCCTCACCACTCACCTCCCACCCTGGTCTGAGGAGCCAGACAGCACTGCCTGTGTCTGCAGGCAGAGGCTCCGCTAATTAAACAAAGGGGCATTTGAAACGCTCAATTCAGAGTTTGATTGCTACTGCATTTATTAACACTTTAATTCAAGCAGCAGAAGGGAAGATTTCTGGTTTTAGAGTCAGCTTTTGCACAGCTTCTGCCCCAAAGGAGAGAGGCAGCTGGCACAGGCAAGGCAGGCAGAGCTCGGATATAGAAACACCCATGGTTTGGACAGACAAGCATGTGGTAGAGGTACTGCAAGGGGCCACAACATCCCCAACAGTCCCTCGGGTTTCTTTCTCTCCTGTGCAATGCCAGACTCCCGTTCCATGGGTGCAGCACGCCGGCTTCAGCTGCCCTCCTGGCACAGCAGAAGAGGAGCTGGCAAGCATCACACTGAAAAAGGGGCGAGCCTTTCCCCAGCCCGCCATGCCTCCAGCCCTGCGGAGGGGGAGCCCCTGCGTTAATCATGGGTGGGCTCAGGGAAGGGAAGTTTTCTCCTCTCCAGCTTACCCGGCCTTGAACTCACCCAAAGATGTGCAACTTGGCAGGCTGAAAAGGGTTTTCCACTTCTTCACCAGCAGGAGTGGATGGGGAAGGGAAGGACACTGGGTGCACGAGTGCGGTGGCGGTGGTTATCTCTGCCTCGCGCAATAACCATGTTCCCCTTTGTCGATAAGCTGGGTCCTTGAGGGCAGGCCAGATGCAGCCCAGCCCAGTGCCAGGGAGGACGGGAGCCCAGACTGCCCCAGGAGCCAGCCTCGCTGGCAGCGAGCGTGAATGAAGTGAGCCAGCCAGCGCAGCACAGAGCCAGCCCCTTGGGTTGCCTCTTGCCCCTCACCAGCCCAGTGGGCAAAGCTGAGAGTGCTCTGGGTTTTACCGCAGGAAAGCCACAGGGAAGCATGGCCCCATCTCCAGGCAGCAGCAGGACGCAAGGGGGACAGGCAGCCAGGGGGAAAGCAGAAGAGGGGCTGGGAAGTGGGCTGGGTAGGGAACGGCTCCCTTCTCAGAGCTCCTGGGCTGGAGCCCTCACCTTGCAGGACGGCATGGTGGAGCAGGGAGCCTTGCAGCCCCTTGCTGGAGTGCCAGGCTGCAATAACTAATCACCTATCACAAGGAAATGAGTCCTTCCCCTCTCTTCTTGCTCTGGATGGTACCTCAGATGAAGAAAGGGGGCAATAAAATACTAATATGCCCTTATCTTCAACAGCAATAGAGGCTCTATAAACGCCCATCACACCCAAACCTGCAGCCGCACCTGGGCCAGGGTCTGCAACCTCATCAGATGGTTGTGAGAAACATTCAAAAAGTCCTGACTTCTTGTGCTGAAGAGCGAGCAACACGTGCTCATCACCAAGGCCTTTGCAACCAGCCCTTGCCCACCAGGCACCCCCACCCACAGCACTCCAGGCAAAGCACCCTCCTGCTTCCCTGGCCCAGCAGTGCCCAGCCACTGCCCCACGCAAGCAGAGCACTGGGTAGGGATGCCCGGGTGGTGAAAGGGCATAGGTTTGTCCCAGACCTGGCCAGATCCCACACCTCCTGCCTCCCTGGAGCCCTGCAGGCAATCGGAGCTTAGCTCCTTCTGGCATCCCCGAGCTGCCTCTTGTTGCTGCCTAGCACAGCTGGTCTGAAGCAGCAGCAAATAATCCACGCAAGCTCTCTGAGGAGTATCGGGCCAGGTGCTAGGAGAGCCCGTCTCTGCCTGCAGCACCTGGGAAGTGCTCAGATAGGAGAGGCGAGAAAATTCAGGCCAATTTCCTGATGGGCTGAGGCATTTGGAAAGGGCCTCCACATTCCTCGACACTCCTCCCAGCCATGGCACACACCCAGTTGCCTCCCACACTGCGGTGGAGCCTCTCAGCCCTTCAGCAAGCCAGGGCTGATTTGGAAGAGAACAAACTCTTCCTACCCATGGCCTCCAGCAGCCTTTTCAGGCGCAGCAGAGCATGCGCTATGGAGAGGGGCTGCTCTTAGGCACTTCAAATCCTGAATCCCGGGTTGGGCTAAGCAACAGCTCAAGTCACGCACTGTGCCGACAGGAATGGAGATGCACTCCTCACCCAAGCCATGCCACAGGCCCTACCTGATGTCCCCGCTGGTGCCCACGCTCTAGCCCAGGAAACAGCCTCATGGTTTCACCTCAGGGCATCTATGATGCTCGGCTGGCAATTGCACTTGTATTTTACCCCCAAAGGCTTCCTGCTTTCCTGAAGCCTTGGGGATGGCCCCATCTGGAGTCACACAGCCGGGACAATTCCATGAGACCATTGGTACCTGGCTCTTCTGGTTTTAATTGGAGACGCTGCAATGGACATGAGGAGCAGTGAGAAAACAGCTCCTCTTCAGAAAACACCTTCAGTCAGAGGAAATGCCTGTCCACAAACTCACAGCTTTCCACTGCCTCCTGGAAGAGACCTGTTTAAAGGCACTTGAAAGGACCTTTTGGTCTTTAAAGAAAGATGAAGGAAACAGGGTGCAATGAACTCCATGGCACTGCAGGGAACAGAGATCTTTGGGTGCACCAGAGAAGACTGATAGAAAGCAACTTCCTGTCTGGCTTTGAACAACAGCTCAGAAATCTGTCAGGAGAGTTATAAAAAGTGTTTATCTCAGAAAACCATGATACCTGTGAATAGGACACGGAGGTTTGCTCTTTCAGGCATTACATTAATAGCACAATCAGTTTTCTCCCTAATTTGAGTCTAATCTACACTAGAGGAGCCTCAGCTTAGTGACCGCAGCAAACCTAGCATATATGCAATCTGTAGCAGCAAGAGCAGGCTTTATCGGTAGAACCTACACCAATTCAGCAAGC